TGATTAATATTTGACTATCTCCAGGAAGTTTGAACATGCTTCTGTTTTAATAATTTTGACATATTATAAATAAAATCAAAGTTCCCCTTCACTATCTCCCTTCTTTCTTAATACAGGTATGTACAGGTATAAATTTCCCTCTAAGCACTCTTCAGCTGTATCTCATCTGGTTTGGTACGTTGTGTCTTCATTTTAGTCATCTCAAAGTACTGGGGGCTTTTTGTTTATTTTGTGTGTGTGTGGTGTTATTCTTTCCATTAGCTATAGAGTAAAATCAAAGTATTGTTTTTATTTCCCTTTTGATTTCTTCTTTGACCACTTGGTTATTTAGGAGTATGTTAATTTCCATATATTTGTAAGCTTCTTAATTAATGTTTTTCTAATTTTGATTGCTAATTTCATTTTATTATAGTCAGTGAACATACTTTGTGTTATTTATATCCTATTAAATTTATTGAGGTTTGTTCTATGGCCTAGCATATGGTCGATTTCATAGAATGTTCCATGTGCACTTGAGAAAAATGTCTGTTGTTAAATGGAGCATTCTATAGAGATTAGTTAGGTTTAGTTGGTTTATAGTATTGTTTGAGTCTTCCATTTACTTGTTGATCTTCTGTTTAGTTGTTCTATGCATTATTGAAAATGGGATACTGAAGTCTCCAAATATTATCATTTAATTGTCTGTTTCTCCCTTCATTTTTGCAGTGTTTGCTTCATGTGTTTTGGTGCTCTGTTATGAAGTACGTATGTAATTGTTATATCTTCCTGGTGGATTGGCCCTTTTCTCATTATACAGTTTCTCTCTTCAGTTTTCTTGTGGTTGCTGTCTGTGTATCTTTTTCCATCCTTTTATTTTCAATATATTTATATCCTTGAATCTTAAAGTATGTCTCCTGTAGATAGCATATATTTGAATTATTTTTTTCATCCTGCCAATCTCTACCTTTTGATTGCATTGTTTAATCCATACACACTTAATGTTACCATAGATATAGTTGTATTTATGCCTGCCATTTTACGTTTTCTTTTCTATGTTTCATGTCTTGTTTGGTCCTCTCTTCCTCCTTTACTGCTTTCTTCTGCATTAAGTGAATATTTTTAATGTAGTATCTTTATTTCTTTAATGATTTTTTCACTACATTTTTGAGGGGTTTTTTTTTTAGTTGCTGCTCTATGGTTTATCATAGACAACTTACCAGAATCATATATATATGAGTGTGTATACATATATACATACATATATATATATGTATACACATACACATACATATATATATATGAGAGACACTCTAGCCTGGGCAACAAAGCCAGATGCTGTCTCAAAAAAAAAAAAAAAAGACAGCATCTCATTCCATTGTTCAGCCTGGAGTGTGCAGTGGCACAATCATAGCTCACTGTACCTTCAAATTCTTGGGCTCAAGTGATCCTCTTGCCTCAGCTTTCCAAGTAGCTGGGACTATAGTTGGGTGTCACCATGCTTGGCTAATTTTTTAAAACATTTTTTGTAGAGACAGGGTCCTGCTATGTTGCCCACGCTGGTCTCAAACTCCTGGCCTCAAGCGATCCTCCCACCTTGGTCTCCCAAAGTGTTAGGATTATAGCTGTTAGCCACTGTGCCTGGCCAGTTTTATATTTATATTATGTTAATTTCAATGATATATAGAAATGCTACACCTATACAGTTCTATTTCCTTTTCCCTCTTTTTGTGGGATTATAGTTATACATGTTGCACCTATTAAGGTTACAAACTCAAATGTATTGTTATAACTATATTTTACCATCTGTGGTAATATCCTTAGCCAAAAACAGCTTGATTCTCACCTCCCTCTTTTGTCCTGTTATTGGAAAGTATACTACTCATGTGGTTCATTTTTCTGTGTTAGGCCCAGCATTAGTAAGAACGAAGAAGGACAAGCGATTTGATGAAAAGAAAAGAAAAATATTAATTTGCCAGCAAATGAGGAGGGCGGTAGGCTAGCATCTCAAGACCACTATCTTGTCTTTAAGCAAAAAAACAGGGATTTTTAGAGGGGCTTTCCGAAGTTGGGCTCCCATCTGCTTGACTGTAGATAGCTGTCACATGTCATGGCTTTGGACTATTGTTAAGTGTAATTGGTGGTTTCAGTTGACCTTATCTCCAGTGACCATGATCTCCTGACCCTTGTCCAGACAATTCCGTTCAGCCGTCTCCTGTGGTTTTAAGATACTAGAAGAGAACATCTTTCTGCTTCGTTTACTGGCCTCAGGAAAGAATGCAGGTTTTAATTCCCAAAAGAGGGTGGGGGTTTTAAAGAGACAACTCGTAAACTCGTAATACATTTCGTTGCCTTTTCTCAGACCTTTACCTGTTACAGTCACCGGAGCACTCTCTGAACAGATTGTAAATTTCTAGAAGTGTTTTCCTAGGGATAGTACAGCGACACGTGCTACAGTGGTTTAACATTTAGTAGATTAAAACGAGGGCAAGATTTCAAAAACGTTGCATTTGGGCCAGACAAACCAAGCACCCTCATGATAGCTGCAGAAAAACGCAGAGTTTCCCGCCTGCAGCGAGGCCCAGAGCCACAGCAAGCGCAGTTCCTCCACTGGGGTATCTCCCGCCTCTTCCGGTGCGCGCCTTCCGCATCCGCCGGACGCCAGCCTCGCGAGACACTGCGCGCGCGCCAAGTTCGACCGTCCAATCGGGAACGAGCTGTGGCTTGGCGCCTGAGCAGAAAGGAGAAGCGAGCGCCGCGTGGACGCTGACCTCGGCCCGCGCCTGCGCCTTGGCTTCTCCCCGTGATTGGCTCCTGATTGGCTCCTGTCTCTGAGGGAGCCGCCGTAGTTCAGTTTTCACTTTCTTTCTCGCTCTCTTTTTTTTTTTTTTTGGTTCCGCCCCCGCACACACCATTTTCTTTTCCTTTGGCCGTGAGGTTTTACTTCCGGTTGCTAGCGTCAGTCAGCGAGAAAGTCGACATGTTCCCTCCCGTGTCTGGGCGTCGCGGGGCTGGTTCTCGCCTGTGACCCTGACGGGAGACGGGGCGCGGTTCCGAGGCCTGGAGCTCGGGCACCCCGGCCAGCGCCCGGACCGCTGGCCCGCGCCCGCCGCACCCGCCCCCCCGAGGGGCTGCCTGCGGGGCGGGCGGGGTCGGCGTCCTGCGGTGTCCACGTGTGTCGGGGGCCGCGAGGGCCGGGAGGACGCAGCCGCACGGCCGGGGACAGCATGGGAAGGAGGCTGAGCAGTGACCGGAAGTCCTCAGGGGCGGCGGCCGCGCGGGGGACAGGTAAGCTCTTCCTAGCGTCCGGGCGCCCCGACCGCGGATCTCCGCTGACACCTGCGCGGACGGAGCCCAGGGCCGAGCGCTCGGGCTTGCGGGTGCTGCGGGGCTCAGCCGCCGGGGCCGGGTTCGCGCGCTCGCTGTGGAGCGGGGGGCGGCCCGCGCGTTCCCCCCGCCTGTTCGCCCTGCCCCGGGCTGCGTGGGGCGGGAGGGTTGGCGTTGCCTGAAGCGCTTTCTGCGTGGCCGCTGTTGGGGTGGCTCGACCTGTGTGGCCGGTCTCGGTGTCGCCGACTTCGAGACCTTAACCGTGCTTCAAGTTCCTGCGGGGCTTCGAAATCCATGTTGCCCGTTTTCTAGAATGCTTTAAGCATTTCGTTTGCGTCGTCTGTCAGGGGACAGCTTCATCCTCAGGGATATGGTGATAGGTTTTTGGCTGAAGTTTCCCCCACTGGATTTGGACCGGCTGGGAAGGCATCTGCTAAGGGTTCTCTGGGAAGCCTGCTGCTCACGTTTCTTTCTGCCGAGACTTCGTGGCGGTGCGTGACCTTTTCGTTTTAAAGTAAAAGACGCCTGTCCATAGGGAGAACCATTTAGCCGCGAACTCAAGTTACGCACGGGGAGTGTTACAGTAGGTCGGTCCATGCGAGCCAGCAGTTTGTCTGAAGGCGGCGCCAAGCAGCGTTTTGTGGGAGAAAGTGGTTGCTTGATCTCAAAATTTGAGGAAGATTAGTTTGAAAAGTCTCAGGTTTCTCTTCATCACCTCTTTTGTCTGTTTAAAATTCACAAATTTAAGTAAGCTGTTTTTCCCTTTTCCTAGTCTCCCTGTAAGGTAGAATCAGAGTAGTAAGGTTTCTGAAAACGTATCCTGAACTTAAAGTGTTGTACAAGTTTATGGTGTTATTGTTGTAACATTATCTAACGGTCCGTAGTATTTCCCTGAAAAAGCATTAAAAGGAAAGAGGGGTGCGTGTGTGATGTTTAATATTACAGGATGTGAGGCTGGTGGTACTCCTGCCTAGGAGGTTGATAACAGAGCAAATGTTCCTTGATAGTGTAAGAATACTCTTGTGTCTCCTAGGCGTGGATAGCTTGCCGTGTCTCCAGTACTGTACATCAGCAAATGACATCCAGGCCAGAAAAAATAAAAGGTGACAGAGTATACACAATTATTTTAAGGAAAACAGTGTTTGAAATTTTGTGTTTTCAGGACATTTACCCAAATGTAACAAGTTCTCTTTAAAAAGAGATGTCATGACCATCTCCTGTAATCCAAACGTAAGTGCTTAAATGGGCTGAAATCTGCAAAGTCCTTAAAAACTTGCCTGAGACAGTGTTTGTGAAATGTAGTATAATAATCTATTTAGTATAAGTAAATAGATTCAGGTGAGTCTGTCGTTCCTCTATTGGTAGGCATTCAGGTTATTTTCAGGATTTCCCTACAGCTAACAGTGCTGCAATGATTATCCCTTTTGCTGTTATAAACAGTGCTTCAGGTGCTCATGAGAGTGTTTCTGTAGAATTGAGTCCTTCATGAGAATGCTGGCCAATAATGGTGCTAAATTGCTCTCAAACGATTGCACCCTTTTACATTCACTCTCTCAAAAGATGTGTTTTTATCTCCCACTCTAGCCAGCACTGGATGGTAACAGTGTTTTAAAAATATTTTACCTCAAAATTAAAAATAATTTTTATTTATCTTCCTTGATGAATAAAAAAGTTAAACATTTTTGACTGGGTCATATCCTTTGCTGATGTTTTTATTGGATCCAAGCTTTCTTTGACC